GTTTTAAAAGTCAACAACCCTGTTATATATATATATATATATTAAACTACGTCCCATTATGTCTGAAACGTTAGCTGTAAACTTACACTAAAATATCTATTATGAAATGTTATGGATTCTGGGTTTTAAAAGTCAACAACCCTGTTATATATATATATATATATTAAACTACGTCCCATTATGTCTGAAACGTTAGCTGTAAACTTACACTAAAATATCTATTATGAAATGTTATGGATTCTGGGTTTTAAAAGTCAACAACCCTGTTATATATATATATATATATTAAACTACTTCTTAAGTACCATAGCATTGATTACATGACCTGAGTGAGATAAATTAATTTTTCGTAATGTTCTTTCTGTTTGAGTGCCAGAACTGGTTTTAATGGCGATTTTTCTGAGGAGCTCATTCCAACACACGCGCATTTATCTAAGTATGTCTATCTGATAGCACGGAGGCATAATATAATTACAACCCACGTGCATGGAACGCGTAGTGTTTGTACCTGTAACGAGTATATTTAAACTAAAACAAAATCTTGGATGACCATTTGATGAAACACTAAACTAAACTTTATAATAACACAGAGGCAGATCACTTGCTGTTATGGATATAATTGGTTGTCGTGCTTGAAAATATAATTGTTACATAACCCAAAGCTATGAGATCCCAATTTCGTGTTTTCTTTGTTCAAAGATTACCACAGCTTCACAGACTATAATAGAAGAATACAAATACAGGAATTAGCTTGATTTCTAGGCTAACGCATAAGCTTGAAGCCTATTTTAGTGATTCGAGTCTGTCTTAATTATATACAAAACGATGCTGTATTATAAAATGACATACAAAATGCATTCAACAAACACAATTTTATTTATGTAACGCAGGGCAGTAGAGTGTATTTAATTTTTATGTGAAGTATGTACTGAAACCGTAATTGCTGATTTCTTAATAGGAGTGAATATTTTCAATAAAACAATACAAATCATTCAACTTTTACCCTAGAAGTTATCACATAAGGTACAAATCATTCAACTTTTACCCTAGAAGTTATCACATAAGGTACAAATCATTCAACTTTTATCCTAGAAGTTATCACATAGGTACAGATCATTCAACTTTTAGCCTAGAAGTTATCACATAATGTAAAGATTATTCAACTTTTATCCTAGAAGTTATCACATAAGGTACAGACCATTCAACTTTTACCCTAGAAGTTAACACATAATGTAAAGATTATTCAACTTTTATCGTAGAAGCTATCATGTAAGAACTGGTAGAAATACTTAATCAACTGATTTTTCCAGAAAAAGATTCAAACACATTCTAAAGAAAATTGGAAATTTGAAAGATAAACCGGAGAGATCATCCCTGGGGATTTTATCCCAATTAAATAATTATTAGTTGTGGAGAGTTTATCTCAATTAAGTAATCATTAATTTTTTTAACATTATGAAATCATATGATTTATTCTTGTTCTTCGCACCTGGGAAACTCGGTTAAATTATCTAAGATTTTTCAGTTTCGAGCTCCTTCCGCAGTGCTAAGGATTTTGCCAATGACACCTTATGAACCGCTCTCATACGTTAGGTGATTAGATTTCTTCAAGCACTTAACGCAGAGAACATGAAGATAAACTAATGAAAGGCAGGCTATTCAAGAACTAACATATGTTTACTAGTCTGAGAAGAAAATCCGTCGACAATCTGAATGTATACGTGACATATGGCATATAAAACACATTTATTTATATATATATTAGTTTCAAACATTTGATTAGCTAAATTAAGGGCCTTAATTGAGCTAAGCAAATGTTCTCATCAGAATTATAATTGAAGTCATCAAATTTGACCAATAAGATAATCTTTCACTTGTCAGCGCAGCTGAATGTAAAGTTCAATTCTGATCATTTTTGTATAAACTAAAATGTAATTTCCGGTTTGGTTTAATATCCACGTTTATTTACTTGGACATTAAAAAATGTTTTAGTATATTTCACAATAATTTGCTGGACAGTTTTAACCGTGCCAACTGCTAATAAAAATAACAAGGAAAACAGCTCCAATATCTAAACATCTATCTGTTTCATAGATTCCAACACGTTTTGTTTGTTCTATAAGCATGAATCATGGATTTCACGACATTAATATTTTAATGCACATATATCTAGTGCTGGTGGAAAAAAAAAAGGCAATCAAGTTGATTTCCTTATAATTTATAAGATTTGTAGCGGCCACGGTTCTTTTATACTTGGTAGCCATGCACGACAAGAAGATTCAAATAGAAAGGTTAACATAATGAGTTACTGGGGTCTCAAGCTTGTGCAATCTCTTCTCCTGAAAATTAGAGTACACTTAGAGAGTTTATGGAATGGTGTCAAGCAACAGAGCGTAATCATGGCCGTCAGAGTGGGCACGATTAACTGTGGAGGAAGTAGCTTCAAGGGCAGCACGGAACTAGGAATATCAATCTTACAAAGAACGATTAACCTCAGTAAGTACCAGTGGCGGATACAGGATTTTATTCAGGGGGTTCTATATGGTTTGTTTTAGTATATTTATAGAAACTAGTGCTTCTGCTGGGGAATGAGTAGAAAAGTTCAATAAATTTGTCCTTTTTTTTTTCGTTTGTTTTGAAAATGTGAACCTTCATCACGATGTACTAATTAACTAACTTTACATGTTTAGTTAATGCTCTATGTCATGGGTTTAAATACAAGGCGAAGGACATGTCCACTTAATTAAAAAAAGCGACCACAAAAAAACATTTTGCGGGCACCAAATCACAACACCATATGGTCGCTGTTCTGAACTTAACAATCCACTGGTCATACTGGCTGAATGTTTGCGAACGTTCTAAATAGTACGTCAAAAATTATGCTGTTGTGTAATACATATTAATTCAAATGATTTTGTGGTGACGTTTCAAACACAATGCGTATTTGACTTACCATTTGAATTAAACCAATTGCGTTGGCTTCTTCCGGTGGGCACCATTGTTACCCAGAACTGGGTTATAACTTATAACCTTATAACAGCGCTAATTTTTCTAGAATGAATAAAATGGTGCCTTTTGAATATTGTTTGTTTATTTGTTTTTAATTAAGCATAAAGCTACATAATGGGCTATCTGTGCTCTGCC